AAAAAAATAATATAGTGGATTTAATATTTAATAGTATATAATATAGTAGATGATATATATATATTTAGATATATATATATATAAATTTAGATCTTTTTGAGGACAACTTTATGAATAATCTATCTGAAGAAAACATAAATATTTTTCAAGAAACTCAAATCAACTTAATTAACACACCGTATATTGATCCCTTTGATTTTAAAGTAAAAACAGATGATTGTTCATTTTCTGTATTACACATAAACATTAGTAGCATGCAGCAAAATTTTGATAAAACTTAAAGAATTTTTAAATATTTTAAATTACACGTTCGACGTCATATCTCTTTCAGAGACTTGGCATGATACAGAAAGTACTTTTGAATTAAATTCTAATTATACCTTACCATTTTACAAACTAATTAGACTAATTATTAGTCAACCACGAGGTGATGGAAAAAAAGGAGGAGGATTAGGAATTTATGTCTTGAAAAAGTATGCTTTCAAGATAAAAAACATATTATGCTTTTTTAATAATAATTATGAAAGTGTTTTCATTGAAATTATTAATAAAAAATACCTAAACGTTTTAGTTGGATGTGTTTATCGTCCACCGAGTGAAAAATAAAAACCTTCGAAACTTTTATCAAAAATACGATTATAAAAATAAATAAAGAAAATAAAACATTATATATTACTGGTGACATAAATCTTGATGCTCTTTCTAACACAAAATTTCCAAAAATAAAATCTTTTTTTGATATGTTTTTTAAATTGAACGTCTTGTCAACTATTAATAAACCAACGCGAGTAACAAAAACCTCGGCAACGGCACTAGACATTATTTTTATTAATAATTATTTAGAAACGACATATGAAACCGGTATATTTATGACAGATATTAGTGATCATTTCCCGGTATTTATAAAAACAAAAAATCTAAAAGCTATGACTGATTATCATTCAAAAATCATACATTTGAAAAAACGAAATTTAAAAATGAGTTACACTAATAAATTAACAAATAGACTAAAACAAGAAACATGGAACAACGTATATAAATGTCAAGATACGAATGGAGCTTACAATGCCTTTTTAAGTACATTTTTGGAGTACTTTAATGAAACCTGTCCTTAAGAGAATATAAGAATTAAGTCAAAAGCAATTGCTAATCGGTGGATGGATAAATCGTTATTAAAGTGCTCAAAAAAAAAGCAAAAACTTTACAATAAATTTCTGAAAAATAAAAACAATGATAATGAAAAAAATTACAAAAAATATAAATATTTTTACCAAGATCTCATTAAAAATGCAAAAAAAAAAAAAATATTTCAGTAATCAAAATAACAAATGCAAATTTGATTGCAAAAAAACATGGTCCATCATCAATGTCATAATGGGAAGAGAAAAACTAAATTCACCTTCTCTACCTAAACGAATTGTTATTGAAAACAACGATATATTTAGTCAAAAACAAATTTTGGAAGAATTCAATAAATATTTTACAAGTATTGGTCTAATTCTTGTAAAAAAAATAGTGCCAATATCTGTATCATTTAAAAACTTCCTTAAACCAACGAATAATGTTATCATGCTTGATTATGAATTAACCTATGAGGAATTTGAGCCAGCTTTTTCCTTGTTAAAAAAAAAAAAAGGCTCCGGGATTTGATGAGATATCTAGTAATATAGTTATTGCAAACAAACACAGTCTTAAAAGACCTCTAATACATATACTAAAGCTTTCGTTATATTCTGGGATATTTCCGGATGTACTTAAATTAGCAAAAGTAACTCCATTGTACAAATGTAATGATCATTCTGACATTACAAACTACAGGCCTATATCAGTACTTTCTGTATTTTCAAAACTATTCGAACGTGTAGTTTATAGAATCTATGATTACTTCATTAAAAACAACTTTTTTTACCCAAATAAGTTTGGTTTTCAAAAAAATCTCTCTACTGAGCATGCAATCATTGAAATAGTAAATCAAATAACTAATGGTTTTGAAAAAATAAATTTACTTTAGGAGTATTTCTTGATTTATCAAAAGCATTTGATACAGTGGACTACTGTATTCTCTTAGATGAATTAAGACATTACAGAATTAATAAAACTTATTATTAGATTAAAAGCTATCTTACAAACAGAAAGCAATATGTAAATAATGCCCAATCTGGAGTGTCAAATGTCGTATGTGGAGTTCCGCAAGGATCGATTCTTGGTCCACTTCTTTTTTTAATATATATAAACGACATCTGTAATGCATCCTTAAAACTTAATTCACTCATGTTTCCAGATGACACGAATTTATTTCTTACCAACAACGATATTAGGAAATTATATGCGGACATGAATATTGAACTAAATAAAGTAAATAACTGGTTTAAGGCTAACAAACTCTCATTTAATACCGAGAAAACAAACTATATATTTTTTCATAAAAAAACACAAGAAGAAAATCTTCCTCACAAGTTGCCGAACCTATTTATGATAAATAAATATATTGGATTGCTATTTAATTAATGATAAATTAATTAAAAAGCAATCCAATATAAGATTCTTGGGAATCGTGGTTGATGAAAAATTATCCTGGCTTCCTCATATAATATATATCCAGTCAAAAATTACCAAAATCATAGGTTTAATATATTGAGTTCGCTCGTACATCAATACAAATAGTCTTAAATTAACCTACTTTGGGCTAATTCACAGCCTCATCAGCTATGCAAATATTTCATGGGCAAGTACTCAAACAGCAATGCTTAAGAAACTTTATAGTTTTCAGAAACATACCTGTAGAATCATTTACTTTAAAAATAGGCAGGAACACGCTAATCCCTTGATGAAAGATAGGAAAATGATGAATGAATTTGAAATAAATTTCTACCAGCATTTAATTTTCTTAGCTTTAATAATAATTTTGAGTTAAATAAAAATGATAACAATAATCTTTGAGCGAATATGTTGAACACATATAAACTGCCACGGATAATAAATAAATATTCAGAATACAGCATTTTATTTAGAGGTCCAAAAGTATGTAATATTTTTCAGAAAGAGTTCAAAGGTACGGTGAGTTCGTTAACTTCATTCAAGTTTTTAATAAAAATAGAAATCTTTAAAACCTGTGAAACATTTTTTGTTGATAATGCTTTGGATAAATTCTCTTAAATAAGTTTTTGTTTTGTTTCTACTTTTGTTTGTTGCTTGACAAATTTTATAAGCGGATTAAGAATTTTGTTATAATATTTTATTGACATTTTTATTTTGTATGTCATATTACGATATTTTAATTAAATCTTGTTAAAGAGGTTCTATGAAAAGATTGCGATGACGTTCTGTCATCCTCATCTTCTTTGAGTCCCTATCTGTTTTACTTATTTTGTTAAATTTTATATTATGTAGTAAAATCTGTAAAATTCTTGTGTTATGTAAACAAAGAAAAAAAAAACATTTCAGGCTGTTGTGTGTATAAACACAGTGCAATTTTACAAAAAACAAAATTATTTTTTTGTATATAAACAGCATGCTGGCGGCAACTAATTTTTCTGCGTTTACTTGACGTAGACTTTAATATATTAGATTTTACACAACATATACAAGAGTGTTTTAAAGGTTCAATTTAAATAGTTAACATCACCTTTACATGCAGGGGAGAGTTGCCATAATGGGAACAGCGCCTTAATTGGAACACTTCCATTTATTTTTGAAAAAAAAATGAATTATGACTATATTTTGCTTTTTTTTTGACGCATATTAAAAGTTGTTCCTCAAAAAATGCATGTACACCATTGATTTAAAGTTTTTTCGCGTTATTTTTTTTGGTAATCTAATTTTGTGTTTCGGCTATATTGATTGCGCTGTGTAAACTATACTGCTATAGGTTATACGGTTTTTTGTGTTTAGTTCAAACACAAAAAACCGTATAACCTAACTTGTAATGATATAACAAAATAGTCGAAAGTTTCGTTGATTGAAACTTTTTCCTTAATGAGTAATAAAATCAAAGTGTTGTAAAAATAATTCAAGCAAAATTTAAAAATAATAACAATCATAAACTTTAAAAATATTACTTTATTTAGTGATTTTTAATGAATAAATTAAGAGAACGTCATGACAGTTGAAGCTTTATTACAAGATTTTGTTTTTATAGACTTTCAGTTTGTCAGGGTAATATTAATCCTATGATAAATTTTTAATGAACTGTTCAAATTTTCACTGTAAAAATAAAAACTATTTTTAATCAATTTTTTTAAAACGTTTAAAGACTTATGTACGCGGCTCGGAAATAAGACAACTATGTTAAAGTTTTAAAAAACGGAAGAAAAAAACAACAACCAAAAACAACAGATTTACTAAAACATTTCAAGTCATTTTTTGTAAATAATAAATCGCAAATTCTATAAACATATGAGATACATTTTAAGTATTTTTTTTTTTTTTTCGTGTAAAAGCAGCATTCCAGCAGCAACTATAGAAATTTTTTTCTTAATACTGTCATTATTTACAACTGAGACATTGTGTAACTTTGATCAAGAATCAGAAAGACAGTAAGTTTCAGGCACGTTTAAGTTTAAAAAAGTCGATTATAAAGCAAGAAAATTAAATGCAATGCAGAAAAAAACTTCCTTTACTTTTATTTTTTCAATTTTATTTTATTGTGTAATTATGGTATTTTGTTATTTATAAAATATTTTTTATCGTAATTTTTCTTTTGGTTTTCAATTATCTGTTGATAATTGTTTAAATATTGTTTAGAAATTAAAACTTTTATTTAATGAATGAAAATATTTGCTATAAAATGTTGTAAACTAATTATAAAATTTTTTTTATTTGAATATTATTATTTTATTTTGTTTTTGTGTGTTTTGAAGTTTTGCTTTTTATTACATTTTTTTTAAAAATGTAGCATTTTAAATCTTTATGTATTACAAAACGCATTTCAAAAAGTATGTACGCGCCACAAGTATAAAAGTTATGCACAATAAAGGATTTTATCATATACTGACACAACG